CTTGTTCACCAAAAGGTAAGGAAAAAAATTGCTCTTTCTTTAGCGATTACAAAAAAGGAAAAATGCATAGAATAGAACTGCAGCATTCTGAACATTGCACATTGCTGTGGCAGTATATAATGTTCTTCAGAAACACACTTGGAAACAAAGCTCATTCAAGCTGAAAGATTGTGTAACTAAAGACATGTGACCCTTATATCTGACCTTGTTCTTAAATTTTGAGGCAAACGAGAGCCCTTGGTTAACAGTTGAGCCCTTTAGGAGCAATACTTTATTTTTCTTGAAACATCTAAGCTCTTGCAGGTATTTTCCCTCATATTTATCAGTTGTCTAAGGAAAACCAGTCTTTGACAACTCAGCTACAAAAGTTTGTCTAGTTGTTTTTGCTTTGCCTTTGTGTGTCCCCACTGTTGCTTGTGAGTACTTCTCCCTCACTTGGCTTCTTCACTCAGCCTTTCATAACTTTTTATTGCTTCAAACTACTTCCCTGGAGAAATGGTTAGGGCATAGTTCTCAGTGGGGCATGCAGCCTCTTTGCTCTCTTATTTTGTAGATCTGTGCAAATGGCAGTCCAGAAGTCAGCTCAGATATGTGCAGGTATACACAGTGCACTCATTCCTTTGCCAGTAAGGCTTTGTAAGTACCAGGTGTCCCTGAAAAGCAGCAAGCTTTTGGAAGCTTGTGCTCACTAATGGAATGGTAAGCAGCTAAACACTTCCAAAACATTGTACAGAGCAACCTCCTTTGGGATTTGCAGTCTGCACTCTGCAGTGTAACTCAATAGGGTGTTTTTCTCCCTTTGGTTTTTCATTATTGTGTGCCGCTTACTGAAGCACAACCTCTTGTAGCTCAGTGCAAAAACACCCCTGGCTCAGTGAACGTAAAGAACAAGTTGTCAAGTGATGGATATTATTCCCTATGCAGTGATTTAAAAGGTGTCTTTGCTTTGTTGTGGTTAGTTGTCATACATGTATGAGTTTGCAGATGTTGCTGACGATGGAGTGTTGCATATGTGCTCCTAATACCTGATGGTATTTGAAGATGCAAATATAATCTTTTGATACATGGAATGGAAATCCACTTGAAACATAAATAGTATTTTACTATCAGACTATAATGTTACACCAATTAAGTATATACGTGATAAATGAGAAAATAAGTGCAGCATATCCAAACTGTTGCAGACAGAAAATTTTTGAACTGACAGTGTTTAATGTACTATGAATATAAATTTTGTTCTTAATATCCATTTGAACTGGGAAATCACACAGAATAATCTCTGGAGTGTGTTTGTGTGTAGTGAAGAGCATTTCGTTATCTGAAGGAAGGTATGTAAAGAGCATTCACAGACTTTTTATTTGTGCCAATAGACATTGCACTTTAAATCACTGTTATACCACTTTGTCATCTATAAATAAACTGGCAAAACCACTGCTAAGCTTTGGATTTCCTTCGCTGCTAGTACCACTTGAAATCAGTGGTTCCTGTTTCAATATTGCTCGTTCCTTTGACATAAATCAAAGGAAGATCCTCACAGTGAAATCATCAGAAATATAATTTAATTTGTATCAGAATTACAAAAGTATTTTACCTGTCTCTCTCCCATGTCCAATTTCTATTTTTATAATAAATTGGTATTTTGAAGACTGTTACATTGAGAAAATTCCGGTGCTATAGGTTAAGATGGTGTTGTGGAACAAAGCAGCAATCATAACAAGTAGAAAAAGCTGCTCAGAAACATGATTTCTCAATAATTGCAGGAGCAGTCCTGTGAACTTGAATCTTGTAGAGAGGCCCACGTCTTCCCTGAAAACTTCCCCCACAGAGATAAATTTCTAAGAAGTCCACAAACAACCAGTGTTTCTTAAACTTTCTGATTGTACCAACAATGAATTTGTTGGAACTCAGGACATCAGTTTCAAATAGCTTAGAACATTTGGTTACCTAGCATGTTGTTCAGTTCTGGAGCTTGCTGCCCAGCCAAGTTAGGTAGGCTGCTGACAGGCTCAATACACAAATTCTTGAGCAACAAGTTTGGTGCCTGAACTGATCCCTGGAAGTAGTGAGTGGAAACACTGTTTGGTTTTGCTGTCAGATTGCTTTGTTGTTATGAATTGCTGAGTGTAAAAAAGCTATGACTTGATGACACTCTCGGGAAATCAGTGATATTGGAAAATATATAAATTCTTCCTCTTGTTGGTGTTTTTTTGTTTGTTTGGGATGTTTTTTAGTTTGTGTGTTTGTGGGTTTTGTACAAACACAGCTGCTTTTGATGTTAATCCCACATACATACAAACCATGTTTTATGTTCTCTGTGTTCATAGTTTAAATCCATAAGTATCTTGATCCTGGAGATCTTCATTTAAGAACTGAATTTTCTGCTTCGCTGTGGTGGGTTTTATTTTGTTGCTATGTCATGGAAAAATGTTCATATCTCTTTGAATGTGTTGTTCAAGTCTATACATGCAAACCTGGGAATTGTAAGATCCTTAAGCTATTCCATACTGTTCCAGGCAAAATACTAATTGGATTAACTGTATGTAACATTCAGTAGGAATTCTGAGATCTAGCCATAATAAATTAAATCTCAACACTAACTCTTAATTTTGAGTGTCTTCCTCTCACTGTTTTTACCTGCTGTCTTCAAGCTTCTCTTTTGGAACTGCTTTAATTGGCAAGGCAGGTTTTGAGGGCTGTGCTTTTCAGCTTTCCATCTTTGATTGGGTTTTATTGTGGGGTTTTGTGGGTTTTTTTTGCTGGATACATTTCTGCATCTATTTCCAAGTACAAAAGAAGTAGGCTACTCTCTGCAAAGTGCTTGGAATACCCATCAAGTGTCAATTCTCAGACCAGTTCAGAATTTTGCAAGTCATGGGATTGCAGAGCTTTGCACTTTTTATTTCTGTCTTTTTGACCGATTTGCTCACTGCTTTTCTGGCTTGTAATAAAGTCATGGACATACACCTACTTGGAGAAAGCTTTCTAACCTTTTTGTTTTCTCTGTAATGGCCTCAATGTGAGGACACACGTCTGCATACAAAAGGAAAACCACAACCCAAAAAAGTAGTTTCTTTGTGCTCTAAGTAAAAGTACAAAAGTTAAATGCATTTAAAAATCTTTCAGTCTTGTTCAGCTTCAGGTTTTTGCAGTTGGAGCAAATGGGGGCGGGCGATAATTGGTAGAGCTGTACAGTTATATAACTAAAAGCTTTTCTGCTGGAAGTTAGGAGAGCAGATTGCCTGGCCATCAATATGCGACACGTGTTTTTAGTCTTCCCACAGTGTCCATGCAGAGGAGTACCGTCAAGAAGTGTGTATTGGTTTGGTAGATTAATGTGTTTAAATAAAAATGTTATACAAAAATTTCCTTTGGGGTACAAACTTTTTTTTTTTTTTTTAGAGAAACAGTGGTGGTAGTATACCACTTGAGGGTTTAAACAGTATTTATTTTGCATAATTAATGGCAGATATTATTCTTAGGTAGAAATTGTAACTGTTGATGGCTTTTAACATGAAAGTTGTCATCTAAAACTCACAGTGGGGAATCAGCTGGGAAAAAGAGGTTATACAATGTATGACAATGGTGATAAGAGTACTATATGCTATTTTGGGGGGAAAATACCATGTTACTATCACAGAATAATGGTCAGCTAGCCAGCAATCATGAATTGTGTCACCCATTTCATCTAAATATTCATTAAAGCAGTGACTGGGACATCAGTGGGGTGTTTTGTATCCAGAGGATGGGTAGATGATTTTGGTTTGGTGGGGGTTCTTTCTGGGTTTTGTATTTAGGTTTTTTGATGGAATGACATTACATAGATCCTATTATTAGTGTATACATTCAGAGAAAAGTGATATGAGTAAAAAATATGACATGACACTGGACTGAGATGAAAGACAATAATGTATGAACACTGTTTGCACTGTGAGTTTGTTGGATTTGGTGTTACAGCTGTTGTATATAGTCCTTTTGTATCTATATGGACATGTGGCTTCAGCTTCTCTATGGCATGAGACAAATGTGAGGTTTGGTTATCTGTGATGGAACAAGATCATTATATCAGAGAGAGCATCTCAGTTTTACTGAAGCTGAGCTGCTCTTGCAAGATAAACCTATCTTGGACCCTTGGTTTTATTCAGTTACTTCATAATCACCCTTACAGTTTGATAACCAGGTATTTTATCATTTTTTTTGAGTCATTGAAGGGAGAGCCAGTCTAAAGTGACCTCAGTAACAGTCAGGATTAACATCTTTGTTAAGGATCATTGCCATGAACTTGACCCTAAATGAGATGGGGGGGGAAGTCCTCCTCCTCCTTTGGGTGGAAGAAGCAAAGCAAGGCAAAACAAAGCAGGTTTTGACTTAGCACTATTAGACTTCCATGGGGTCCTCCAAATGCAGCACCTGCCTTCCTGCAGATGCTTGAAATTACTCACCAGGGAGTTTGCAATTTCACAAGACAGGCAAGCCAAACTCTTACCCCTAAAGCACAGACAGAAGCATCCCCACTTAGGCCAGGCTGTGTGTCACTTGTGCTTGACCTGTCACATTTATTAGGGCTGCTCTTTCAAGGGAAAAGCTCCCTGTTAGATTGACTTCATTGCAATGAAGTTGGAACAAATCATAACTATATGAGGTTAAATAAAGTGGTAGAGGTTAAATGAAGAAAAAACTAGTGTCCTCTTGTGTAAGACATGCTTTGGGAAAGTAAGCAGGCCATTTTCCTATACAGAAACCCGAAGTCAGAAATTAACCAGTGGCAGACACAGGATAGGCATGCTTTGTATTTTATCTAAAGACTATTGGTGTTCGTCTGGATGCACATCATAGAAAAACAGCTCCTGCTGAGCAGTTGCCAGTGCTCACCAGTTGTTTGACTAATGAACGATGTGCAAAATTATCATAACACATTTCTTATAACACAGTGACTTTGTAATGTGTGTGCCTAAGATGATATTTACATAGTGAATCTAATTGTTGCTCCTCTTCTCTTCTAGTTTGTGGAGACATCCATGGTCAGTTCTTTGACTTGATGAAACTGTTTGAAGTGGGAGGTTCTCCTGCCAACACGCGGTACCTCTTCCTGGGGGACTACGTGGACAGAGGGTACTTCAGCATTGAAGTAAGTTTCTTATTTCTGCTTTTGGTTGCGAAACTGCTTGCAGCCTAATAAGTATACTTAGCATCATAACTAGTTCAGGAATACTGAGGCTCTTCACAGATACCATGCTAATGTTGCTGGTGGTGTTTTTATCAAGGTTGCTTGGAATCCAGCCAAATCCCACTATATCTGTGCTGGAAAGCTGACATAGAATGGACCTTTGTGCTAACTAGTGGCCGTCCAAATATAGCACAGAAGGCTCTGCAGCTTGCACAATCTAAATAGGATGAATAGATATGAGCTATTAGAAAAGAGACATAACAGAAAAACTAAACAAACAACCCATAGTTTAGCTTGACTTTCAGGTTTATTTGATCTGAGTTTCCTGGATGTGAAATTTTGTGAAAATCAAAGGACTAGACGGGAGGTAAATGGGACAAAAAGCCAGCACATAACATGCTGTGCTGGAGAGAATAAGTTCTGTTTAGATAGGAGATGCAGGAGTGCATGATCTCTGACTTTTGATGCAGCACTTGGATCTACAGAGTATAGAAGTATGCATGAGTGCCCTGTTGGTGGTGCAGAGACCTGGTGCAGAGTCCAGTGTCAGGTCAGATGACTCCATCTTTAGCTGACATGAGAAAGAAATGGTGTCCTGCCCAACCTGTTCACCTTTGACTAGGGGCAAGTTAAATACCAACCACAAATCCGTTGTTCCAGTGCTCATAAAACAAATTAGATTTTTTGATTCTGTTCTGCCTTACTGCTTGATTTTGCAAACTGACAGATGAGATGCACAATTATTGAGTCAAACCTGAGATATATTTGTTTGTCTAGGTCATAGTTGATCTAGTCATTGAATGGTCAGTCAGAAACCTTTGCAGCAGGTTTTGAGCTACAGCTTGGCTGCTTTTCTGAAAAGTTCACACTCGAGCTCCCTCTGAGTCAGGGGGGCATACTGATTATCTGCTGGAAGGAATATAGATCCTAGGATACATGGCTGTGTGTCTGTGACTAGATAAGATGGCAGCATGAGAGAACACATATTCTACTGTTTCATTCTGCATACCTCATCTCAGTACACTGTTGCCATACTGATATAAAAATATGTAATACCAAGCAGCTGAGTTATTTATGTTTGTAAAAAGGATCAGTGCATTATCTTGCCAGTGTTATATTTATAGTATAGTATTGTTTCTTAGCAATAAGATTCAGTAAAACTACTTCTGCTTTATTAGTTCATTTTAAAACTTGATTTCAAGTGTTAAGAGAATCTTTTGACACATTTTACAAATACAAATATGCTGTTCCAAGTACAGATGCTCTAAAAACTTAAGAATGGCAGGATTCTTTCTCATACCTGCCAAAAATCAATAGTCAGGATTTAGTCTTGTATTGAAATGAGCACTTTGATCATGATTTTGTTGAGCTTGAGACCATTATTTTATTGAGAACTGATCCACAGTGAGCTGTGAGCTGTATCATTGCTGTGGATTACCATGCTGGATCACTTGGGGAAGGTTGGGGAGCAGAAGTTTGCAGACTTAAACTATTGTGCTGGCTCAGTGTTAAACTAACATTTTTCAGTTGCGATAACCTCATTCATATCTTCTGTAGACTTTGACTGAGTCAAGTTCTGTCTGGAAGAGGAAGGTTTTGTCTTCATTTATATATGTATGTTTTTACTATGAGGAACAGAACAAGTCGATTTGCTTCAGCTTTCAAGTGCTTGTCTGACAGTTTACCAAAATCGCTTCCGGGGCTATTGCCAATAGCAAACAATATAAAACAAACAAAATAGCTTATGTATAGGGAATAAGCCCCTTAAAATTCCTCATTTAGCAACCTGTACATATATATTTAGCAAACTGTATTCTGAATTCAGTTTTTCCATTCCAGAACTCTGCTTTTTCACTGGAAGCAGCACTGGCTTCTGTCAGTGCCAAGGAAATATCTCAGCTGTCACTTATATTATTTCTTTTTGTATGTAAGGTTCTCAAATCAGTACTTTATTTTGGTCACATAACTGATTTTCCCCACCTGTCACCCTGATTAAACAATGCCTTTGAAAGGAAAGGCAGGTTTCTGTTTCGTAAGTGTATTTGGATGTAGAACTGTGCATTCAGGCATGAACTCAGCACAATAAGTAGTGACAAGGAAAGGAAAATTCTGAAGAATCCAACTTGGCATTTAGAGAGGGAGGATACTTTTGGTGAAGGAGGGGACCTGAGTACATATAGCAGGCACCAGCTCTTGCCTGTACTTTGTACTGAAGAAGTCGTGGTGGTAAACAGCCCTAGCCTGATCTCAGTGCAGATTTCTACCTTGCCAGTCACATAATCATCTTTATTCCATCAATCCGTTAGCTTCCCTTTCTCCTATGTATACGTGAGACTATTGCAGTTCTAGGGTCTTTCCAAAAGAATTAAGTAGCTGGTCCAAGGTACTAATCACAAGTAATATAAGCTTTTAAAAAAAATTCCCCTTGATTGCTGTGTGATATCTAGCGTAAAAGTGACACCATTGAGCTTAGGCATAGCTGAGTTCTGATAGTGGGCGAGATAATCCTTGTCTGTGGGCTGCAAAGCATTTGGGATTCTTCTAGATGAAAGGTACTACATAATGCAAGCTATTATCATTAAGAACAGAGGGGAAAATTGCATAAGGTAGGTGGAAGGCATTTGATAATATGGAGGGGAAAAAGAGAAAAGTATTTGTACAAGGCGCTCAGCAGAAATGATAGTCCTTGCCCCACAGAGCTTTTGATCCAAGGGCTCAATCCTTCACGTGCATGCTCCATTCTTACTGGAGCTAGCTTCACTGCTTGAAGAGGGAGGGTGTTTTGTGTCTTTGAAATTAGTTCTAAGCAAGGGGTCACAGGATGAGAGACTAATAAAGAAATTACGACAGGTAAAATTAAAAATGTCAAAATTACAGGTAAAAGGAGACAAGGTTTCTTGGCATCAACTGAATCTTTATCCCATAACTGTGTTCTCTTTTCCATTTGACCTTTTGGCAGAGCCTAGGCATTTCTTCACTTAGAATAACAAATTTCTGCATACAGTGCATTTGTTTCCTGGGCTATCTAACTGACAACATTTCCTTGTTGTGCTCATGCACTGTTCCAGGGGTTTGACTCCAGAGTAGAAGAGAGAAGAGATCCAAATGATCAAAACAGAGGGCCATTTTTAAATCCAAAGAATAGTTAGAGCATAAGTGGTTCTGCAGGAATGGGTTGTCAGGAAGAATGACTAATCTCTGCCTGAGTCTGAAAACTCTTTTGAAAGGCAGGCATAAATGCTGTGTGGTGCATGTAGGGAGGAGTATACATATAGACCTTTTCCTCACAGTCTTAGAAAAATTGTAGAGTAAATAACAGCTATAATGCATTAATAATATTATGTAAATGAACTGTTGGAATTATTTTCTTGCTCAATCCCCTATAACAACGTAGAGGCTTAAATGTCAGTTGATTATCCTGAGATACATAGTGATAATTTTTGACAGAACAAACAGTTAAGATATGGAGAATGTTCAAAATTAACAAAACCAAAGTTCAAAACATGCATACATCTTCATTTCCTGAATGCAAAGACTGAAATTCCAGAAGGTGAAACTGGTTTTGTGCTATTTCCAGCAAGAACAAAGTGAGGTGTTTGGAGTGAGTCTGGAATTTGACCATTGGACCTTTCACCAATTGGAAAAGCATCTGGAACTTGAGATGCTTCTGAACTCAGTGAACTGTTAGAAATTATTAACTGGTCTCTGCCAATAAAAGAATTGCATATAATAAGTTCATGTTCCTAAGCTCTGGATGAAGTTATTGCTGGTGAAGTTTTGTGTTTATTATCTCTCAAGTCTCTCTGCACTTTCTAGGAGTTCATTGGAAGAATAAACACCTTTCAGCTTCCTCCATTGCTCTAGAGTGTTAATGCTTCCAGTAAACAGCTTGTTTTAAAATAGTTTGGGCTGGTCAGGAATAGTTCTGCAGTGAAGTCACTCCTCTCAGAGCAAGTAAAATCCTAGGACCTTAGTTATCCTAAATTTCCTTGCCCTTTACTTCTGTATACCAGTAGCAAATTATGTTTATAGCAAGAATTTGCATCTTGTAAGATCTCATTTTTTGTATGGCAGTTCTCCTCAGAGCCATGAATATTCAGTAATGCAGCAAATTCAGATTATTTTTTTAATATATTAGATTCCCTGGCTGGAACATCTGTTTGTGTCAAGGCCACCCTTGCAGCTTGCCTGGTCCTGTGCCAGCTGCTCCTAGAGCAAGTCCCCAGCACACCAAGAACCCCTTGTGGGTGCAGAGAGAGAACATGGTATGGCACCATTTCCCCTGCACTGCTTCCATCTCTGTGTACAACCCATCTGTCTTCTCAGAGAACAGCTGGGGCTGAGACACGAGGCCCAAAACGGAAAGTTAGGAGCCAATATTGGGATACCTGTTTAGAAAGTGTACTACCTATAAGAATTAGGAGAACATCTGCCACAGGGGAGGTTTAGGTTGGATATTAGGGAGAGATTTTTTACGGAGAGAGTAATCACACATTGGAATGGGCTGCCCAAGAGGTGGGGGAATCACCATCCCTGGAGGTTTTCAAGACAAGACTGGATGTGGCACTTAGTGCCATGGGCTAGTAATGACGGTAGAGTTGGACTCGGTGATCTTTGAGGTCTCTTCCAACCCGATTGATTCTGTGATTTAAGAAAAAGGATTTCCTGGTCACTTTTTGGTTGAAAAAGAGGTCCTTCCTGTTTGGATATTTTGAGGTCCTTTCAAGGGCTGAAATGTGAGTAATGTGGTCTAAACATTAGAAAAGTGTATAAGGCAAGTAGCCGTGTTTTGTGGATGATCACTTCTAATAGAATCATCTGGGTGACTAGGTAGGAGAGACTCATGCAAGGGTTGAATTGTGAATGTGCTAAAGTACCATGCAGGTGTCAAAACAAGATCCCAAAGAAGCCTGGGAATATTCAACACATGTTTATAAAAAAAAAATAAAGAGCAGTTGAATGATCAGAATGAGATTCTTGAACATTTTAGAAACAGCTGAGACCCTGATTATGAAGAATGGATTCACTGTTACTCCATGCAAAATATATTTCCACAGCAACAGCCTTTTTCATTTTAAATATTCAACCTCTGTGTACAAGAGCATTGGTTTTAGCAACATGAAAAACATAAACAAAGTAAGAGCATGCTGCCATGCCCTGAAATTTGGGGGGGAAAAGAATGAAATCCTGGCTGTAGTGAAGACAATACAGTTTTTTCTTTCATTTCAGTATTGTTCAGAGTTTTCTTTCTCTGTGCTCAAGGACTAGCAGCTCAGAAATGGCAGTAAGTTGCATCTCGTGTGAGTATTCTACTTATAGGTCCAGTGCATCTCTGTTTGTATCTGAAATAAAGCCCTGATATTTAGTCATACGAGTGGTGTGAATGCAGTTATGTGTGTAAAAAGGTACACAGTTTCAGTTGGGATAGTTACTCCATTTTAAGAAGCTGTATCTGTACTAGATACTGGGATGGTATATCATTATTTCAGTGCAGTTAAAAGTAATGCAATTTTTATATTTAAGTGAGGTGTGTGTTAGAGAGTGAAGGAGCTATGCCAATGCACTGTTCCATGGTTCACAGAGCATCAGGAGAGACCTTTGCAATGTGTGGCTCAAATTATACTTTCAAGTATGAATTACCTTACATTTTTTCACACATAATTTCATCTGCTGGGGGAGTGCCCAATGCTGTCACTCATTTGAAGGGAGAGTTCATCTTTTGTTACCCATACCAAGCCACACAACTATCTCTTTCTTCCTGGCACAGTCAGTGCAAGAGCCCCCAAAGTCAGCATGCTGTGGTGCAGAGGGTGCTGTGGTTGCAGGCAAGTGGCAACGATAACGATTTTTCAAGGCTCCTTGTTTTTAGCACATAATTTGAGATGCATGGAAGAGGTCTGAGGGTTTGGGGGTTTGTTTTCAGGACTGAGATGCTGAAGTGTGCAAAGGCTCAAATTCACCATGCAACAGTGGAGTTAAATCTCAAGTCTCTTTCAAAAATATGTACCTTTGGCTTACACTGCTTAATTGCACAGAC